TGCTCTTACCAGGCAAGTGGGGGCGGTCCCGGGCAGGCCGACAGGCGGCAGTGCCTCGGCTGCGGTGCGGCTCCGCGGCTCGGCTGCTGGGCGGCTCGGCGGTCGGGCGGCTCGGCTGCAGGGCGGCTCGGCGGTCGGGCGGCTCGGGTGCACGGCGGCTCGGCGGTCGGGCGGCTCGGCTGCACGGCGGCTCGGCTGCTCGGCGGCTCGGCTGCTCGGCGGCTCGGCTGCTCGGCGGCTCGGCTGGGCGGCGGCTGGGCGGCTCGGCGGCTCTGGCGCTGGGCGGCTGAGTGGCGACGGGGCCGCGGAAGGGCGGCGACGGGGCCGCTGAAAGGGCGGCGACGGGGCCGCGGACGGGCGGCGTCGGGGCCGCTGGAGGGCGGCGACGGGGCCGCGGAAGGGCGACGTGGAGGCCGCAGAAGGGCGGCAACGGGGCCGCGGAAGGGCGGCGTCGGGGCCGCGGAAGGGCGGCGACGGGGCCGCTGCAAGGGCGGGCGGCGAGGCCGTGGAAGGGTGGTGACGGGGCCGCTGAAAGGGCGGCAACGGGCCGCTGAAGGGGCGGCGACGGGGCCGCGGAAAGGGCGGCGACGGGGCCGCAGAAGGGCGGCGTCGGGGCCGCGGAAGGGCGTCGACGGGGCCGAGGAAAGGGCGGCGTCGGGGCCGCGGAAGGGCGGCGACGGGGCCGCGGAAAGGGCGGCGTCGGGGCCGCGGAAGGGCGGCGACGGGGCCGCGGAAAGGGCGGCGTCGGGGCCGCGGAAGGGAGGCGACGGGGCCGCTGCAAGGGCGGGCGGCGATGCCGTGGAAGGGCAGCGACGGGGCCGCTGAAAGGGCGGCGACGGGGCCGCGGAAAGGGCGGCGACGGGGCCGCTGAAAGGACGGCGACGGGGCCGCGGAAAGAGGTCGCGAGGGCGGTGCGACGAGGGCCGCAAGGGCGGCGCGACGGGGCCGTGAGGACGGCGCGACGGGGCCACTAGGGGCCGTAAGGGAGGCCGCTAGAGGCCACGAAGGGGAGTCACACGGGGCGCGACTCGGGCAGGGGCCAAGCGCGCTCCGGGCAGGAAAAAAAAAAGGTCGGTGGGCCCTAGGAACGGTTCCCACGGGGGAACCTGCTCTGTACCATGTGAGAATTAGAATGAGGATGATTGAACTATGAAACAAGTGGGTACAAGTACTCACCCTAATTGGGTTGTACCCCTTATGGGCTACCCCACTATAGCCTACACAAATGTATAAGCTATAATGTTCTGACACCACGGGCTCGCTGAAGTTCTCTGCCGTTAGTTAGGAGTAGAGAGTCTTTATCGAGCACGCCTGCTCTTATCGTGTTGTTTAACACCGTGTTGCTTGGGTGTCCCATTCTTGCGTGCCAGGTTCCTTCGGTTGCACGATGTCCGGGTGAGCGCCGATACATATTGGAGTTGGAAAAGAATCCGGCGGTGAAGTTGGCGCTTCGATGAACTTCTCGTGGTGCTGGGTGCAGTTGCTGCGCGGGTGTCGGTGGTGTGTCGTCGACGAAGATCGGTGCCATTGAAGGACCAGCGATTGGTGTTGATGTTGCCGCTGTTGTCTCCGTTGTCAATGCTACTGCCATTGTTGTCTCTGCTGCTGCCGATGTTGTCTCTGCTGCTGCCGATGTTATCTCTGCTGCTGCCGATGTTGTCTCTACTGCTGCCGAATGTTGAATTGTCGCTAACGCTCTTGTTCTTTCTGCTTCAGGTATCGTGTGTGAATACCAGAAACCGCCGGGGCTGAAGTCTGGGTCAAGATCCGGTGGATGTGTCCAAGAGGTGAAGGTGACGATGCCGTCGCTGTCGGCGGTGCCGAGGTCTGGAACGAAGTCGAGAACGAAGACATTGTTCTTCAAGACTGCTTTGCCGATGTAGAGACCTCCTCTCCCGTGGTACAACTTGAACTCCTGGGTGGTGATGTCTGCTTCGAGGTGAATGCCTTTTGCCATCAGCTGGTTAACGCTAAGAATGTTGTAGCCGAGTCCCTCCGCAATTAATACCTTTGACATCTGTAGTATAACGTTTGTCTCTCTTGACTGAAGTTGAACCACGCCTTGTCGTCGTGTGCGCAGGTTCCGGTTGTTGGCGACGGTGATGACTACTTCGCATTGGAGTTGGTACTCTTGCTGCACAAAGCGTCCTGAAGAGCACATGTGCTGTCCGCAGCAACTGTCCAAGAACCAGGTGTCTTTCCCGGATGGCTCGCTCTGGGCGATGGCTGCGTACGTTGGATTCGGTTGAAGTGACTCGCGGCGAGGTGTGGTGTTGTGGAGTTGTTCTTCTGGTGAGTAGTGTGGCGGTGACTCGGTGATGCAGGAGTCTGACAATCTTGCCATGGAGCTGACGATATTTCTTGTTCCTTGTGCAGATTGTGTCGACGGCGATGTCGTTGAGGACTGCAGTTGACTTGTGGGGTTCGCTTGCGTGGAGGCGACTTGACTGCTTGAGGGTCGAAGCTGCCGTTGTGGCGGTGTTGACTATTGTCGATTCGGGCAGTGTGTGCGCGGGTGTCCTGACGTCTTGCAGAGATGGCAGAACGGAGGTACGGGCTTTGGTTGTTGTCGGTTGTTGTTGTTGTTGTAGCGTCGCTGAGTGTGAAACGCGAATTCGGGTACTGATGCTTTCTTCTTGTGCCGTTCCTCTTGCAGGTCCATGTCTTGTTGCCCGGCGTGTATTTCGGCGCAGAGTGTTGCCTCAGAGATTCTCTCATGAGCTCGAAGAATGGCCTTTGTGGCGCGCCATTGAGGGCCGAGGCCGTTGATGATGACTGTCACGAAGGCGTCTTCAGATATCGACCCTCCGCATCGAAGGAGTTTGTCGCGCAACTCGCAACAGCGGCTGATACACGCTATTCCCTTTTCGCCTGGTTTCATTTCCACTGTTGTCAACTGCGCCATTAGCCGACTCTGACTAACGCTTTCTGTTGCTTCATACAGGCTCTTCAAATGGCTGTATGCGAGTTCGGCGGAGTTGCCGTATCCCTGGTAAGACCGTATATTCTGCTGCTGGTTCGGGGTGATGTTCCTCAATAGAATCGTATACGCCATCATTGACTGATAGGTGTACTGCTGTTTCTCGTACTGTGTGCCGTTTGTTGGGTATGGCAGGGATCCGTCGAAGAAGCCAAGAATCTGCTCGCCTTCCATCATTAACTCAAACTCGAACGACCAGGTGAAGAAGTCCTTTCCGTCGAAAGGCCTTGACATCTGAAGTTTTAAGACGTGCGCAAACTGCGACTGAACTTGAAGTGCGTCCAGTGGTTTCTCCTGTCAAGGTACAGGCTGCGGTTGTGGCATAAAGCTGACGGAGCCGCGCTGGGGCTCGTACGGAGCAAAGGTAGGTTGCTGCTGTTGATTTCCACGTGCGTAGGATGAACCGTCAAGGCTCATTGGAGTCACGTCATTGTTGTTGTTGCTGTTGTGTGACTGCGCAGGTACCGATTGCTGGTGTTGCTCGTAGAAGGACATGAAGGAGAAAAACTTCTCCATCATGCTCTGGTCGAAGCCTGTAGGTTGATTTGCAGGAGTCTCAGTGGATGTTGCCCTGGGTCTTGTTGCCGTACCCTCCTCCGTCTGTAGGCCAGAGGCAGGAGGTGGAGTAGGAGTAGTGCCGGGAGAACCAATAGAGGAACTCCTTTCCTTCTGAGTAGCCATGTCTTCTGATTTTGTAGGTGTTTTGATAGTTGAATTCCCCCCGATAGCTCTCATACCATGTTGGGCTGAGAAAAGCCCTTAGGATCTTTGCAGGGGTGAACTCTGCGTAGGACTGATGTAATAGCGGAAGCGTTTAATAAAGAGTTGTGAACCACCTTGCGCTAGTATGTGAGGGCAAAGTAGATCGATTAAAGCAAAGAGATACAGGATTATATAAGAGTACAAGGAATACGAAGAGATACAGTTACTGTTGCTGTTGCGGTTGCGGTTCGATACAGTGACGACTCGGGCAACTGCTCTGTAGCGAGTCAGTTGTGTGACCTTTGACTTTCGCGTAACCTCTAGCAACCGCTCAACCTCCGAGGGTTGACTCGCCGGTGCTTCGATATACTTCGCTTCACTTCTGACTTGGTGTTTCGACACGACAGAGGCGTTTAAGCTTGATTGTTTCCAACAACCAATAGCTTGGATTTACCATACCTGATACAATATGGCTTTGTCCTGTCCAAGACTCCTTTAGTACCGGTACGTGGGTTGTAACCCACCCTGAGCATTGCAACTAAGGTGCGCTGGTTATGGATCTTTCTTCATGGAAGTTCAAGCTCGCTCACTCTCTCTCTCTCTCTCTCTCTCTCTCTCTCTCTCTCTCTCTCTCTCTCTCTCTCTCTCTCTCTCTCTCTCTCTCTCTCTCTCTCTCTCTCTCTCTCTCTCTCTCTCTCTCTCTCTCTCTCTTCCAATCTTAAGTTACAGGAGGCAGCTGCCAATACTGTACTTCTGACCTGCTGGAAATGCTGCCGGCTATGGCAATCATTGTGAGGTGCCTAGACATTGCCTTGCTTGCTCTGAGCCCCTCCATTAGGTGCACTTGGCAGCAGCTTTTAATGACACATTTCCTTACCGTATCATTGTCTATCCCATCCCATCTCCCCCCTTGCCGCCCTCTCCCTCCCTCCCCCTTTCTCTACTATTCTTCCTATCATACTGTATTTAGTCTTCAACAAGCCGTACATTTGAAAAACCATGCTGTAAGAAGCAAGCCTCACGAATCAAATTTACATTAACACTGGAATAATACACACCCTAACAATGCAACATGCATGCACATCGGCAGATCAAATAGCAATCTGTTGTTCGAGCGCCTCCCCACACCAACGCCTCAGCAGTAGGCACTCTAACAACAGACCCTATAGAAGCTCCTAGAAAGACCTACCTATTGCTACTGCTACTACTAACAGTATCTGCCCTCCTCCTGCCCATCACTCTGCTTCAGCCCTTCCAACGCCCAGCCTTCCTCCTGCACACACACTCTCAGTAACGCCCTCCTATTCACGTGCATCTTTCACTTCCTGAGGCCGAACGCCCATCCTTTGGGTGCCTTCTGGAACTGACCCCTAGCAGCGCCGGCCTCAAACCCGGGGGAAGCGACGAGAGCATAGAAGGCGCGGGGCTGCGCCACAACCGCCAGCGCCACGTCCTTCACCGTCTGCACGCCGTCCGCAGCAGCCACGGTGGCGGCAGCGCGCCACACGCCCGTGAGAGTGAATGTGTGCAGCCCTGCCAGGCGCGCCGAGCGCCCCACTGCGCGCTGCAGGCGGCCCCATGCGCGCCCCATGGGGCCGCTGCCAGGGGAGGGCGAGGCGGCGCTGGTCCACGCAGGGGGGGATGCGCCGTCAGTGCCCGTGGCCGTGGAAAAGTCCAGCAGAGTCGCGCCGGTGGTGCCAGCGCTGCCGCTGTTGAGAGTGAGCGCCGTGGGCGCAGCGTCAGTCGAGAGGGAGATGCGCGCCGTGAAGGCCACGTCGTAGTCCGTGCCGTTCCTGCCCACACCCAGAAATGAAGGGGAATGAGATGGATGGAGTGAGGCAAACGGGGATGGCCCTCGCGAAAAGGGGCATATCTTCGGATTCATCAAGTGAGCAAGAGCGGTGGAGGACTCACTGGAGGAGGGTGATTTCAAGGACGCCAGTGGCGTTGGCATCGCCAGGGGCTGTCAGCGCATCAGCCGCCACACTGCTGCCCCTCAGCTGCGCCAACACGCCACCGGCGCTCTTCCCGCGCTTACCCCACCCAAGCCCTCTCCCATTCCCCTTCCCCTTGCCGTTGCCTACCCACTGCTGATTCACCCTGTTTGACGTCACTACAGCGGCCAGGCTTCGGGCCATCCTGCCCCTCCCCTTGCCCTTCCCGTTGCCCCCTTTCCGCCCGAATATGACCCCCAGGGCGCCTGGAACGGTGTCGTTCCCAAAGATTCTGGTGATCCCAGAGAATACGCCGCCCGCGCCCCAGCCGCCGGTGAGGTTTCCGCCCGTGAGTCTGCCGAGAATGCCGCCGCCGTTTCCGTTTCCGTTTCCGCCGTGGCTCCCGGGATCAGCTAGTGCACCTGCGATCGCGAGAATTTGCAAGTTATCGCGTGGAACTCTGAATGGTGGTAGAAACGCGGTAAATGGAGTAGTATTTGGAAGAGAATGTGTTTCGGATTAAAATGGAGCCTGCAGAGAGTCTGCAGAGGACATAAGGGAGGAAGCGATCTTACATGATGAGGTGAGTGCAACAACCAGGAGCATCGCAAGGGCAACCTTCGCTATCGCCATGAACGTTGATACGGGTGGAGCTTATTAGAAATGGGATGGCCGAGTGGATGGTACGTCTACTGACTGAACTCGTCAATGTGATGAAAGTCACAACTAATTGAGGAGTTTATATCCTAGTTAGATCACGGTTTTGCACGAGTGAGCTACTTGAGTCATGACACCACGACGAAAGTTATGAGGGACGTGGGTGGGATGGAGTGCGGTTAAATGTGGTGGAGAACGACGCCGGTGAAAGGGGAATATCACGTTCAGGAAATGCATTGGACCGCCAACGCAATGACTGGTTGGAAATTGGAAAAATCACGCGACTCGACGGTTTTCGGATTTGTGTCAATCCTGTCGACCACTCGTGCACCACGTCAGCACTATTTCGAATTCCAAAAATCCGATCGACCGATCCTTTTTCTACACTTGCAAGCACGAATTGGTCACTCTGTCGCAAGCATTGTTACTGCGTTAGGGTTTCTCTAAATTCGTTGGTTTGTGGGTGGTAGATTCTGTCGCGTTTTGCATAGTATGATTACGCGTGTCAGTTGGCGCGATATGCCTACAATGATTAAGCACATCTATTGGCCTCAGCAACTTGAACGTTTCAGGACAAGTTCCCCTCTGATGGGGTTGTGGGCGTTTTTCCCGCACTACTCACGGTTGTCAGATCAACCACGAATAACACAGCAGCAACACTTCACGAGCATTCACCACTAGGACGCATGCATGAACCGCTCAGAGTGGTTTCGATCCTTCCTTACCAAGGATTGACTACCTCTGATCGAGTTTCTTCACACAGGCTCTTTGACAGATTCTTCCCGCGTTAGGGATTAGGCACGCCGTTCTGTACCAGTGCATTTGAACAAGGCGACGAGCAGAAACAGAGGTGGCATTGATTGCGGGAAGGGCCAAATTGCAATATCTAAACCACTACCTTCACGACACCGGCGTATTTACTGTGCAGACATACGCCACGACAAAATCATATCATTCGGGAAGTTACAGAGCACTAGCCATACCATTCTCGAGAAAGTTACGTACCTGTATTGACACACCCACTCCCAACCGCTAAAAGTTAAACCATACCGCGTAACTATTGTAGAGTCGATCGGATTTTTGGAATTCGAAATAGTGCTGAGTGGTGCACGAGTGGTCGACAGGATTGACACAAATCCAAAAACCGTCGAGTCGCGTGAGTTTTCCTTGGAAATTGGTTCCACCAGCAAATGGTTACGCGACACGGGATTGTCAGCTGCGGCGGTTCGTGTGGTATGGAATGTGACGTGAGGAGTTCAACCAGTTTCGAGATTAGTCGGTGCCAGGAGTTCAAATACGGTGTAGCTTCCACTCAACAAGCTCCACGTCAGACCGCCGTGTTCGGCACCGGTTTGAGCGTTCGCGCTTTTGAGAACGGGTTCGTCGGTGGGTTCCGGGTCGGTTGGTATGAGCTGCGAAGGCTTGCGAACTGGGACCCTGATCGGTAGCCCCTAAGCGGAGTAAGGGTGTGGGAAACATGTGGAAATTTCGTTGCCTCGTTTTGCTTATAGTGCGTCAGGGTAATTTTAGATGCTCTATCTATTCTCATGATATGTGCCACCTTGGTGGCATTCTCTACCAGTCCTAGTCGACCTACTACGTAACCAATACACGCTTGACAGCACAGGAGAACTACTTCACACCAAATCCCATGATCCGCTACCCAAATCAACCCATAGTGTTTCTTACTTGGTCCCTCCTGTGTGTCACATACGTATAGTCGTCATTCCTCATACCCTTCGGTTACATATCGTGGATGTTAGCGGCTCCGTTTATACCAGGAACATCTATGTTTGCCTTGTTGCCATTGCCACCCAAGGCTCCAAAGAAATGATGCGATGTGAGTAGCCTACATCAGATGCACCCTCTAGCCATTTTCTCGCCTCCACCCACGTCACCCTCCCTCCTTACAGTCCAACAGGGCAGACCTCAAGATAAATCAGGAGTAGGATTCACGCGAGGGACCAATGCCTTGAAACTGAGGAGCATGATCTCAGTCAGCCGGGACTAGAGGCAACTTCAAAATGCGAGCGGCGACAGTATAAGAATTGCATCGCAGGCGCTTGCGTTCTCACGGCACGCTCACTGTCTTCAGCTCGAGCCTGACTCTTTCTGTCGCTGCGCCGTGTCGCAGCCATGGATTCTCACCGCTATAGAGCCATGCACGTTACCGTGTGGCTCGTCCTAGTGAGCGCGGCCATTCAAGGCCCTCTTCTCGGGGTGCGCGTCGCGGCGGCGTGGTACATTCCGCCGCCCGGCACGTCCTTCTACTGGCAGCTCTCCAGCGCGCAGCCAGGTTGGTTCTCCATCATGGGTCATCGCATATCGTCGCAATTATGTCGGCTCGCCGCAGGCCAGGTGGAGTCGTCACATTTGGTCGCCTGTTCGTCGCATCCTTGTCGCAATCACGCGAGCTCGTACCACTGCTGATTTTCTCTTATCAGCCCGTAGGTACCTCGGCGTTTCAAGCCATCGGTGTGCGACAATTCGGACCCTGTGGCTCGAGTGTCGCCTTCGCAGACGTCGCGCGCGGAGGGGACTCGACTCGGCGTGCGGCTCTTCCGATTTCTTCCGCTCTGCACCCCGCGACGACGACGACAACTTGTGCACGGCGTGGACATTCCCCTGTCCCGCAAGCCGCGCTCCTCCCTCTTCCTCCGCAGATTCGGTGGACGCGCGACGGTCGACGGCAGATCCGCGATCTGGACTCGTGCGTTAGGTGGGCGCTTAGATGCGCGACGGTCGACGGCGTCGACGGCGGTCTCGGAAGCCGGTGGTTCTCGAGAACTCTCATAAGTCACACCCACTGATTAGATCAGATATTATAGTTTCATCATGTCGCCGATCGCACTTTCAATTCATCCAACCCCGCTGCAGGCATGGTGGACACGACCGTGAATGCGCAGGTGTATGACATCGACGGCTTCGGCACGCCCGCAGCGACGATCCGACGGCTGCAGGCGGCGGGGCGCAAGGTGATTTGCTACTTCAGCTTCGGGTCCGCCGAGGACTACCGCGCCGACTACAGCCTGTTCCCGCGCTCCACGCTCGGTGGACTCGTCTGCAACGTGAGTTCCGCGTGGGACGCGAGTGGGATGTGAATGGGACGAGAGGGGGACGCGAGTGGGGCGACGTATTTGGTTGCAACGGGCTTCTTGCTGCAATTACGACGTTGCTGTAGATCATGTGTATGTGCGTGTGCTGCTGCTGCTTCGGCAAGGAATACTTTCGACTTGGTCCTTTCACCATCTAAGGAACCCGCCGAAACACCACCACATTAAAATCCTCCCCCCCCCCCCCCCCCCCCCCCCCCCTTTTGCCTTCTTTTGCCCCACTCTTGATGGACAAGTGTTCACAATCGACTCCCTGCTTGCGCGTTTCAACTTTGCGTTTCCTTTCTGCCAGCCGCTTCATCTCTCTACATTCCTCCGATTCATCTTCTCCCTTTTACATCCCCCTCTCTCAAATGGTCCTTTGTATCAATTCAGCAGGGGGTACAGACATGCAGTTTGACTCGCGGTTCCCTTAGACCTTCCGACCCATTAACCCATCCCTCTGACCCTCTCCCCCCCCCCTTAGTGCCCCTCTACCCCTCCAGCGTGTGGAGGATGTCCCCTAGGTGCAGCGGCCAGGGGTCCGCTGCCATCTGGGGGTGCGCTGCCTCGGTCCTAGCCCTGGCCTTGGTGTGCAGGGCGTTCGCCTGGGAGCGCTGGAGGGCCACCGACCAGCGCTGGCTGAAGTGGCAGGCCATCTTCTTGGCGGATTTCGCCAAGGGGTTGGCCCTGAAGCGGTTCCTAGCTGCTGCTGTGGCCAGCATCAGGAACGCCGTCGTGGGGGGCGCGTTTGCCTCGTAGGCCTCGCCGGCCAGGGCGCAGAACACCATGTGTTCTGTGTGCCGGTAGTAATTCCTTTCCTTCCGCTTCTGCGCCTACCTTGCAGCCCAGCCTGGGGGGTTGCGGGCTGTGGGGTCTCAGTTCTGTAGCACAGGGTCGGTGATAGTCGTGTCTGTGATCCAGGTCTCTCCACTGTCTGGGTCGCGTACAATCACGTCGGCCTTCTTCGGGTCATCTGGCGGTGAGTACATTGCATTCTCCAGGTATACCACCAGCTGCGCCTCCCTCGCCATTTTAGCCACGGCGAAGGCCAGCTGGTTGTGTGTGCGCGTTCTGTCGGGGCCTGTGCTGCAGCGGAGTAGGTGGTTGGGTAGGCTGCAGTCGGCCACGAGCTCTCCCCCTCTCTCCTTCTCTCCCTCTCTCCGCCTTCTCCTCGCTCCTCCCTCTATGAACTGTATCATATGTGCTCCCCTGTGCAAACCCCTGTACCCTCTGGCCGCTCCGCCAATCAGAGCGACGACTGTTCCGAGGTGTGGGAGGGCGAGCGGTGGCTGGATGTTCGCAGCAACGTGGTGCGGAGTGTACTGGAGAAGCGTGTAAAGGTACAGAGCAGAGTGTACTGTATGGAACGTACTGTGCGCACACAACACCAATGCATGGTTTGTTTTGTTCTTCCAGGGCTCCAACTCTTTCCTCGTTTTATCTTGAATCGGTCGCCGGGTGCATAGAAGTTGCCGCATTCCCATCCGCGCATCTACTTCCCACTGCCTCTCTCATCATGTCTCACTGACTCTGTCTTTTGCATTGCCCTCCATCCAAAGCGCCTGCTTCATGTAAGCAACAGGGGCGACAATAAGAATTCCGAAGCACAAGGAGTGTGACGCCATGTGTGCCATGCTGAAAACAACCGGGGTGCGTTGCATGTTGCAATGCAACAAGCCTGGCAGACGAGACTTCCAAGGTTGCAGCACCACCATTCTGGTCCACATCATTGCTGCCTGTCACCGCCGTTTCTCCCTTCCTCTCCCCCCCCTCCCACCACCCCGCACCCACTCACTTTGATATGTGCCCGCAGCTGGCAAAGCGCAAGGGGTGTGATGGCATAGAGCCGGACAACTTGGACGCGTGGAGCAACAACATCATGTACAAGACCATCAGCCGCTTTAAGATCACCGCTGCTGACCAGGCCAACTTCAACCTCTGGATCGCCCGCACCGTGCACAAGTATGTGTGTGTGCCCGCACGCCCACTCACACTTGACTAGTCACGCTGCTCTCCATCTCGAACCCATTCATTCTGCCCCACCGCATCACACCGCTTCATACCACCTCACCCCCACCTGCCACCCTCACCCGCCACACCTACCCCACCTGCCACCCCCACCCATCTACTCTCGCAGGTACGGCATGTCAGTGGGCCTCAAGAACCCTGGCTCCCTGCTGCCCTCCCAGATGGCAGCCGCGTTTGACTGGGCGCTGGTGGAGCAGTGCAACGAGTACAGCGTGTGGGGCGGCGGCGGCGCGTGGTACAGCGGCAGGTACGTACGGCTGCGACTACCACGCAAACAAGCTCATTGTGCGCTGCAAGGCCGTTGCTGCTGAGTGCACGGATGCACCGGATCCCACCGCTTTACATCGCATCCCGCCAATTTATACCGTCTGCAACCCCTGCCCCATCCGCTCTGGCAGGTACGGCTGCGACTACGCGAACGAGTTCATTGTGCGCAGCAAGGCTGTGTTCATCGCCGAGTATACGGACTCCTGGGGGACAGCCGTGGGGCGCAAGAATGGGATTCAGTTCCCCCAGGTGTGTGTGGTGTGGTGCTGTTTGTGGCGGTATGAGTGGGTGGGCTGGTTGGCGGAGAGGGGGTGGTGGTTGCTGTGGTGTGGAGTGCAGTGCCTGGAGATCTGCTGGCCAAAGGGGTGGCGTTTTGGGGGAGGAGGAAGATTTGGTTGCCTCGGCTCACATGCACACACCGGCTCACATGCACACACCGGCTCACATGCACACGCCGGCTTACATGCACACGCCGGCTCACATGCACACGCCGGCTCACTTGCACACACCGGCTCACATGCACACCCCGGCTCACATGCACACACTGGCTCACATGCACACGCCGGCTCACATGCACACGCCGGCTCACATGCACACACCGGCTCACATGCACACACCGGCTCACATGCACACACCGGCTCACATGCACACACCGGCTCACATGCACACACCGGCTCACATGCACACACCGGCTCACATGCACACACCGGCTCACATGCACACGCCGGCTCACATGCACACGCCGGCTCACATGCACACGCCGGCTCACATGCACACCCCGGCTCACATGCACGCGCCGGCTCACATGCACCCACCGGCTCACATGCACACACCGGCTCACATGCACACGCCGGCTCACATGCACACACCGGCTCACATGCACACACCGGCTCACATGCACACACACTCGCATGCACACACCGGCTCACATGCACACACCGGCTCACATGCACACACACTCGCATGCACACACACTTGCATGCACACACACTCACATGCACACACACTCACATGCACACACACACACATGCATACCCGCTCACCCGCACACCCACTCTAAACTCACATGCACACCCACTCAAATGCATGCCAACTCACCTCTTTCTCTTCTTATGCTTCCCTTGCTACTGCTTTCCCTGCTACTTGTGTCCCTTCTCCTTCTCCCCCTGTCAAGGCCCTGTGCGCTGACAACAATGCACACTGCTTCACAATACGACGCGCCTCTACAACACAAGGACCTCGAGCCGGGCTACGCTACGCCTCCTCCACTCACATCTCGTTCCCTTGCTACTGCTTCTCTTGCTACTGCTCCCCCCTCCCGCCAGGCCATGTGTGCGGACAACAATGCACACGGCTTCACAACGCGCCTCTACAACATGGACCTTGAGCCGGGTTACCGTTACCCCTTCGCTGACTGCCTGCGCCACAAGCCTGCCGGGTGCAACTCGGTGTGGCAGCAGTGCGTGCAACCCACTGTGTATCAATCGTTCATGCGCAGCGGGATGAAGCGGTGGGATGCGGTGGGGCAGTGCATGCGCAGCAAGGTGGGACAGTGCACGTACAAATGAGGAGTGGAGATGAAGCTTCAAAGCATTGGCTCGGAAGGTGTGGTGCGTGGCATGTGGCGCATAGCATTCATGTCATGGCACAGGGCACATGTTGCTTGCCATGTATTGAAAGTAGGGGCGGCTTGTGGGAGTATTGTGTGTGCACCCTAAACTCTCAATTTTTTGTGCTCCAACTGACAAATGTCCGTCGACAACATGGCCCCATAAAACAGCTCTTAAAGCAAGCGAACGAAGTACGATTATCTCACATTCTCTCACAGGGTTGCGTTGTGACAGTCACAACACATCTGTCATTTTCTTAGGGAGGAGGGGGAGGGGGAGGGGGGAGGGGGGGAGAGGGGGGATCCATCCGAAGTTCCCCCACGATAAGGAGCGCCGCTGTGAGGAGGGCGGTGGTGTAATTACTAGGTAGGCTGGTAGCAGCTTCCAGGAATAGGTTGTTAATACAAAATGTTACCTATGTAAGATAAGTTATTCACTAAGCCTGCACTGTTAAGCGTGGAAGCTGTCTAACGGGAACACAGCGTGTAACAAACGATTCAAAATTTGAGCCTGCGATCCTCGCTCAGCAGACGATTCGTTACACATTCGTTTGAAACTCGGTTGGCTCGATTTCGCGGCGTCGCCAAATTCGCTCCGCTAGAAGCCAGGCTCCCCAAGTGGCTTGGAATTGTAATCGGTGGGTGCTTAGCAACTGTACGAGCAAACCGCCGCGCGGTCGGTGTGGTGTGGGTACTGACTGACAGTGTGCATGGTGGCGGATAGATGGTGGGATGGAGGAGAGCTGGCTGGTCCCAGAGGAAGGAGCTGTGGTTAGGTGGTGCTGCGGTGGCATGACAATGCCAGGGCACCACCACAGCACAAGCCAGCGAGTCTTCGATTCTCGCTCAACTCTCTTGCGTCGGAGAATCCTAAGCTCGTGCTCCGCCTCCCCTCAATGCCCCGCCTCCCGTTCCCGCGCCTCCAGAAACATGCGTGCCGACACTATTCGCTAGAATACGACGACGATCAGGACAACGAACGAGAGTTGCGTCGCTTAGCGACGGTGGCTGATAAGCCGACCCACTAGCCCTCAGCGCACCAACTCACTCACCGTCTCGACTCGCAACTTGCGAGCACGCACACTGCATGCAGTCTCCTCGTTTCAGCCGTGCGAGTCGCCAGAAATGGACAACCCTTTGTCGCGTACTCACCGCTTGCCTCGACGCCATCGCGTCGACGCGTCACCGTCCGCGCATCCGTCGCCCGCTGCGGACTTGATAGACGTTGGAGACCCGCCGCTCGCGCAGGGCAACACAGAGTAATGAGCGTTCCGAGGGCTATAAAGATCCATGGCCCGCCCTCCCATGGACATCCCATCGCATCCCAGTGCTTGTAGCCTTACCAATCGATCCCATCGGCAATTGGGCAACTCGCAGATCGTTTTGAGAGAGCATTGAGTTGAAATCAGCGGCTTTTGAAGGTTGAGTGGATCATGGCGACGACGAGGATCCTTGCGCTCCTCATTCTCGTTCTCCTCGCCACCTCATGTGAGCTCGCTCCCACTCCTCTTTCCCTCCGCCTTTTGCTCCGCCGTTTGGGTACCGCTGGTTGTAATATGCTCTCTTCTACGGGTTCATTTGTTTTCTGAAGCGGTTCTTAGTAAACCAGCGTGCTTTCGTGTGCACGTGCAGGTGCCTTTGCTGCTCCTGGTAACGGCAAGGGGAAAGGCGGAAACGGAAAGGGAGGCGGCAAGGGCAATGGCGGCGGAAAAGGCAACGGGAAGGGCGGAAGCGGAAAGGGCGGCGGAATTCTTGGAATGCTGACTGGCGGAAACTCGACGGGCGGATGGGGCGCGGGCGGCATATTCTCGGGCCTCACGTCGCTCTTTGGCAACGGCAGCGCTCCGAGCGACCTGGGTGGCATCTTTGGGCGCAAGGGCGGGAACGGGAAGGGCAAGGGGAATGGCGGAGGCGAGGGGGACGGCTCGGAGAGTGTTGGCCCTGCAGGCGCGAGTGAGGCAGTGATTGGGACGATGGGGGTCGGCAACGGCAAGGGGCAGGGGCAGGGTAAGGGAAAGGGGAATGGCGGAGGTAAGGGGAAGGGGAAGGGCAAGGGCAAGGGGAATGGCGGAGGTAAGGGGAAGGGGAATGGAAAGGGCAAAGGGAACGGGCAGGGGAACGGGCAGGGGAGCGGGCAGGGGAACAGTACAGACAGTGGTAGCCCTGCAGGCGTGGCGACAACTGCCAGCTCGCGTGTGATGGGGATGATGGGGGTCCGCAACGGCAAGGGGCAGGGCAACGGTCAGGGACAGGGGAATGGGAATGGGAATGGGAGAGGGCTCGGGTGGGGTCGCGGGAAGAGCGCGGGTGGCGTGTTGGCGCAGCTGAGGGGCAGCAGTGTGGCGGCTGATGCGCTGACAGCCCCTGGCGATGCCAACGCCACCGGCGTGCTCGAAATCACCCTCCTCCAGTGAGTCCTCCGCCGATGTTGCTCACTTGATGAATCCCAATTAACGCCCTGTATTGCGAGGGCCATCCCTGTTTGCCACGCTCCATCCATCTCATTCCCCTTCATTTCTGGGTGTGGGCAGGAACGGCACGGACTACGACGTGGCCTTCACGGCGCGCATCTCCCTCTCGACTGACGCTGCGCCCACGGCGCTCACTCTCAACAGCGGTACTGCCGCAACGACCGGCGCGGCTCTGCTGGACTTTTCCACGGCCACGGGCACTGACGGCGCATCCCCCCCTGCGTGGACCAGCGCCGCCTCGCCCTCCCCTGGCAGCGGCCCCATGGGGCGCGCATGGGGCCGCCTGCAGCGTGCAGTGGGGCGCTCTGCGCGCCTGGCAGGGCTGCACACATTCACTCTCACAGGCGTGTGGCGCGCTGCCGCCACCGTGGCTGCTGAGGACGGCGTGCAGACGGTGAAGGACGTGGCGCTGGCGCTTGTGATGCAGCCCCGCACCTTCTATGCTCTCGTGGCTTCCCCGGGGTTTGAGGCCGGCGCTGCTAGGGGTCAGTTCCAGAAGGCGCCCAAAGGATGGGCGTTCGGGCTTAGGAACTGAAGTGTGAAGGGATGGCCTGGAGTGTGAAGGGGGCAGGATGTGTGTGGGCTCCAGGTGGTGGGCAGGGCGCTACCGAGATGGAAATGATTCCACCTTCATTGAGCCTCCTACAGAGTCTGTTGTTAGAGGGCCTACTCCTGACATGAGGATGGGGATGTGTGGCTGTCTAGCTGCTACAGCCCTTTCCTTCATTCACAGCAGCTAGGAACATGAGGGCAGGCTCTAGAACAACAGGTCTTCAGTTGTCATGTTTCACTCGTTGCATTTACTTTGGATGTTACAGTTCGAATGACAATCTTAAAAACAACTATGTCACAATTCTAAGCAGCAATTGAATGGAAGCACTTGGGCGACTGCCAAAACTTCCTACCCCATTGAATATTTGGAAATGATATTGATTGTGCTTGCATCCTGATCATAGATCGAGTACCATCCAGGTGTTTCGTGTGGGGGATCCCCAAGTCGACGTGGGCCACTGTCTGAGGGACGAGCTTGGCCTGACCAAGCCCATGGTGCAATCCCCGCGAAACCACCCTGTTTTGCATGAACAGTTGCATAAATGTGGTCAAAATAATCATCCCTGAACGTTGTAGCTGCTTCCGGACTGTATCTGTTTGTGGAGCTTGGCGTAGTCCACTCCTGTTTCTCCCATCCATCTCTGAATTGCAGCAAACAATGGATCAAAGATGAGCTCATTCACTGAGGAAGCCGAATGAGGTGTTAGCTTACCTCGCAAGTCCTAACTCCTCTAGGATGAGTGGCTTTCTTAATCTGTGCATGTAGCCAGCATGCCTTTCCAAGAACTCGGTTGCGTAGTCCTTGGCTGCAATGAGATTAGCAGCACTTCCATTGTATGGCTGGTATATTCCCCAGTTCTCAACCTGCAGAGGTTCTCATTCCAGACGATCCAACAATGAAACAAATGTTTGCAACCATAGTCATTACTTACCCAAAGATGCACCGTTGCAAAATCCAGGTATGGACTAAAATGTGTGCGGATGAATGCTTTGCCACTGTCATTGCCTTTCCCTTCTAAGCCACTTGTGAGCAGATGATTCTGATCGAGTGACTTGATGTAGTGACCTATAACAGAAAAGAGGGTGAACTGTGTGATCAGACCTTCACAAATATGAAATGAAGCTTACCCATTCTGTCAATCCACCAGCGAGGTGGGTCTTGAGGCTCGTTTGTGATCTCCCACGAAAATATCGTGTTGTCTTCACTATAAACGAGACCGTTGATGTGATTCACCCTCTGAATGATGGTCTTGATGTGCTTTTCTAACATAGACTGAGCTGACTTCATGATGCTTTTGTCACAGTACAGCCGAGAAGCGTATTCAATATATTCTTGCCAGCTTCCAGTGAAGATAGGAAACGACGGAGGATAAGGGATGTTCTGCATCAAGCATTGCAAAGAAAGTCGCAAGAGGAGCGATTGGGTCAGGGAAAGTTGAAGACGGCTGACGAAACTGAGAGGGGAGTAGGACTAACCTGTGATGGATCTGCCCAGAAAACGTATTGAGCGAATCCTCCAGAGTCTTGCCAAAAGTCACTGAGAGAAACAATGGCTTTCATATTTCGTTCCTTTAAGGAATGAAGAAGATAGTCGAGTCCTTTAAACACCGACTCGTCGTGCTTAAAAGGCCTGAAATGTCACTAACTTCACATGAGATTGCCTTCCAGAGAAAGAGACAGAGAACCGCTTACAACACTGACTCAGGAAAAAGCGCTGGTTTCCACCGATACGGCTCAGAGTTTGGTCCCAGACTGGAGCCAAGGATTCTTATGCCATTCAAACCCATGCTGGCTAATGTGTCGAGTTCATAGTGCAACCTGCTTCTGTTTCCTCCCGATTCTTCGGGCATTGCCAGCCAAACGGCTTCCCAAAAATTAATGCCTGCAAAAGTTTCAGGTAGTCGAGAAATGTTCAAGGGATGGGAATTGCCGACTAATATGGTACTCACCTTTGAAGTGATAAGACTTATTGTCAAACACAAAGCCAGTTGAGTTCGTAGAGACTTTAACGTAATGACTGGCGCCTACGAGCATGACACTCATCACTAGAAGAAACGCAACTGCGCAAAATGACTGGACCCTCGGCTTGCATGCTTGGAAGTGAACGGCCATTCTGAATGTCAGTGATGTTGGCGCGGGAAAATGTGATAGTTCGGTACTTCCTTCGATTGATGTAGGACAGGGAGAGTGCGAGTGTGGTGAAGCAATCTGCGAGTGGGGCAACGCTCGAGCATGGGTGGGGAATGCACGATCATGTGCTTGGGATTCTCAATTCTGTGATAAAAATGTGCTATACACCTACAATACGCACATCTGTACATTGTATACTTTGTACCATATTGCAATGAAGTAGAACCCCCCAAAAATGGAAGCACCACACAAGCAATGCTTCCTTTGCAACTTCCTTCCTAGTATACATTGTCACCAAGGGTCCCGTCTCCACCAGGGTGATCTGTCCAGACAGTGCGACATAGAAAAGGACGGAAAAGGCAAATTTTCAGACTGATAGAGCAGGGAAACAAGGTAGGCTCAAACAAGCTCCTCACAATTGAAACAAAAGCGTGGCGTCATTTTCCCTAAATTCCCTGTAACTTACAAGTACATCTCTTCACGATGGAGTCCATATGATGGATCGATACGCTCGTGAAACACATGCATGCCACGCCACATTGCACTGCCACCACCGCCACCGCCGCCGCTGCCACCACCACCAACATTGCTGCTGCTTTCTCTGTTCCTGCCTCTGCTGCTATCTTGCCTCCCTGTGTTTGCTGTACTGTGTGAGGGCTTCCAGGAAGCAGGTACCTGTCTAAGCGATGACAATGGCTTATGAGAGATGGGGGCCCGACTGGCACCCATTGCTGTGATGCTAAGATTCGCAATGCTCATACTGTTGACAGGCATGTGCAGCGGCAGATTTAGCACCTTCTCCCCCACCCTCACCTCCTCCCATGCACACTCCTCCTGCTTACCACTAACCTCCCTGTTTCTCTCCTCCGTACCCTCCCCATCTCCTCCTCTCTCCTCGTCAATGCGCTCATCGTCACTCTCTTCCGTTTCCTTCCCACCATCCCCAACCCCATCCCACTCCTCGTCACTCCGTCCCTCATCCAGCCATCCGCTCCTCACATCCCATTGCCACGTCTCAGCAGCAGCAGGCACCCACACGTGCAGGGAGCGCATGAGAGGGCAGTGCAGAAGCAGGGCGTGCAGGGATGCACGAGAGCAGGGCGCACCCAGCAAGCAGCAGAAGAAACCCAAAAGGCCCGTACCCACTGGCAACGGGAGCAGGCTGGGCTCGGATGAAGAATCGATCTCAGACAAAGAGAAGAGAGCAGGAGGATTGTAAGGAGGAAGCGGGTGATGCAGATCATTCAATGTATCACCCATTCGTCCCTGGGTCATGGGCACGTCTTGTCCTCCTCCTGCTGCTGTTGCTCCTGCTGCAAACACACCACGCAAACCGCTACCGAAACTAGCCGCAGTACTGCTGTTGCCAGCGGTGGTGGCTCCAGTGAGACTCAACGGCTGCTGCCTGTGCAGCGCGGAGAGGGCGAAGGGCGGAGTGGGATGGTGGTGCTGGCGGCGGGAGGATATGCACTTGACTGCCATGCTCCTGAGGCTATCCCACGTGCCGCACTCCAGCTGCCCTATCACCCGCCGTGCAACCAGAATCTCCACTGTGCCTGCTACACGAGCCAGCCAACTGCAAGGGGGGGGGATGGGATGGTGCTCGAGTGTGGAGGCCACTGGATTGGTGTGAGACGACGATAAGTGTGCGTCTCCAACGCCGTTGCAAAACTCGCTACTGATGCTGCTGCTGTAGGTGGGGCTGATACGGATGCTATGGCCGCTGGGAAAGTGTGGGCTGCTGTCTCGAATGCCTTCTTCCGCGTCGCTTCTCATCTCTGGCAACAGCCACTGCCCTCCAACCCGCACCCGACCTGCTACGCCAGGTGAAAATCCAGGCAAAACGCCAGAAAGGTTGTCAGGTGCGCCGTGTACAGACCCAAGTGCTGCGATCCCAGCATAACCACCTGGTAGTACCCGTGTGGGCTGGCGCAGTAGCAGGGCGTTGGGCTCGACGAGGAGGTAGAGATGACGCACAGAGAGAAGGTGAGGGAGTGAGAGGTCGATGCAGCCAGCCACCAAGGAGTGGAGATGCGGTGTGTTGAGAACGGTCACGGGACACCCACCCCCAACAATGGAGAGAGTCGAGAGACGGGGCGAGGCGAGGAGGAGGAAGGAGAGGCGTGAGGCTGCGGTGAAGTGGAAGCGGATGGTGTGGGCAAGAGGGAGGTGGAGGGTGATGGAGAGATGGTGTGGGAAGGTGGGAGAGAGGGAGGAGAACGATGAGTTGAACGAGGAGGTGAGGGAGGAGGAAAACGAGGAGGAGGAGGAAGGGGAGTGGGGAGGCGAGGATGAAGAGAGGGGGATTGGAAGGGAGCATTGCTCCATGGCATGGGTGAGAGAGAGGCAGGTGAGCTGAGGAGAGAGGCGGTGGAGGAGGGAGAAGAGAGGCCAGTCATACCGCACGTTGGAGAGGTGGAGGGACGTGAGGCAGGGGAAGAAAGGAGGAGGCGGAAGAGGAGAGGAGTGGTGTGACATAGACGGTGGGGTGGGGCAAGAGAAGGGGGTATCGGGCATGCGAGGTGGGTGTGAAGTTGGCATGTGCAGGCCGGGCACATGCCATGTCCAGGCACTGCCTTCCAGGGACAAATGGCGCAGACACGGGTATGCTCCCAGCCATGCCATCACACCCCAACTCACTCCCTGCTCCTCCTCCTCCGTCTGCTCCTGCTCCCCTTCCACCTCCTTTTCTTCCTCCAAGACTCTACCAACTCCTTGGACCAGCTCCTGCTCTCCTCCCTCACCCCCCGCCCACCTTGTCCTCTCCACCCTTCCTAACACTCCTCCTCTTTCGCCCCTCCCCCCTCTGCCATCCCTCAATTCTGCAGGAGACGGGGAGTGTGTGGGACTGAGGGCATTCGGTGGAGGAGAGGGAGAGGGAGTGGGGAAACGCGGGGAGGAGGTACGGGGAAGGGGGGGAGACGGAGCAGATGAGCAAGAGAGGTGGAGCGAGGAGAGGGAGAGGACCGAGGGGGCTAGGGCGCGCTGCAAGTGGCAGGGAAGGAAGAGGGGCGGGGAAGGGAAGTGCAGGGAGAGGGAGGTGAGGGAGGGGGTATGAGAGAGGAACCAGAAGAGGGAGGAGAGACGGTTGGGCGGGATGATGAGGCGGAGGGACGGCGTCTGCACTGCGTGTTGCAGCAGCCGCTTACTAGCCATGGCACACACCACCATGGGCCAATCACACCCTTCAACGCCTCCGATGCTCTCACGCCCCCGCTGCCCCCCTTCACCTCTCTCCTCCCTGCTCGCGTTGCCCCCTTCTCCCCCACAACCATCACTGCCACCCTCTTGCCAGTCCTGTTGTCCTCTCATCCGCCGCCCCCCCCCCTCCACAACCACACTCGCCCTCGGTAGTATCAGCCCACCTGCGCCCACAGCCACAGCAGCAGGTATCGCTAGCATCCTGGGCCGCAACAGCAGCAGGGGCCGAACAGTCAGCATCACCACCGATAGCTACATCACCATCAACCCCATGCCTATGACTACGACTATGACTATCCCCACGCGCATGCCCATGGCCAGGCGTTTTCCGAGTGGAATCCGAGCACAGGTGCGTGTTCTCAAGGACGACATGGCCATGGCCATTATTCGGGGCCCTCTTGCCGTCCCTCCCCGAACAGCCCTGCCACGGATGATCATCACCCACGCTGCCGGCATCTCTTCTCTGTGTGCTCTCGCTCTGGCCGTGACAGGCGGGTTCAAGGGGCGGGATGGCGTGAGCGGACGGAGAGGCGTGGGCGGCGTGAGGGGCGTCGGGGGAATGAGCATGGCGATGAGTGGGGTGAGGAGCGGGCAGGCTGGCCCTGCGGAAGATATGGAGCCACACGGAGGAGGGGAGAGAGTCGATAAAATCGCAGTAGATGGAATCGCACGAGAACAAAGAGCCATGGCCACGTTGTTCCTCCGCCACCTCCCCATGCACCGCCTTTGACGTGCGCGCTTCACCCCTTCCAACGCTCCCTTCGCCTTCCTTTCTTCCTCTTGCATCCCCTGCCGCTCCTGCCTCTCCTGCCACTCCTGCCGCTCCTGCATCTCCTGCTTCTGCTTCCCCTGCTGCTGCTGCTGCACCTGCTCCCGCCGCTTCCCACCGTCCTTCCCCTCGAGCCTTCCCCTTGTACATTAGGCTCTCGCCTCCTCCGCGCTCTCTGTCACACCAATCCCCAGTTTCCCCGTCACCGTGCGTCCTCCCAACGCCTCTCTCCTCGTTCTCGTGATCCCCCTCGCGCATCCAATCGCCTGTCATGGCACCCACCACAAGAACAGGCTCTCAGAAACCTAACCCTGACCCTGGTCCTGATCCTGAGCACAGAGCATTAACGTCGACTTCCGCCGTAACTTCCCTTTGCCAACCTTTGCGGTTGCGTCGTGCTTATTCTACGGGGAAAAACAAGGCTCGACACGTCAGCCTACTCCTTAAACTCTCGAATTTAGCATCCCAAGAACAGTAAAACCACACGCACGAACGGTTTCGTCTCTACTCTACCCACATGCTTGCCCTTTTCCAACACCTTAACAGATCGGTGAGTTTTCCGCATGAGCCGCCAGTCGGTCTAAGGACGCGTCACCTCCCTCGATCGATCGTGCAAAATCGAGGAAGATCGATCATCCACCGCACTAAAATCCCGCGTATTGCATTTTTTTTTTTTTGAAAACTTTTTGAACCGAATCAAAAGTCGATCCTGAGCAGGATCGATCGAGGCAGGTGACGCGTCCTAATCCATAAAAGCGCGCCTACGAAAACAATTGCGTGAGAGACAATATGTACGTGAGAGACAATACTTAAAGAGCAAGAGACAGACTTCGACACACCATTCAATGGGGGGGGGGGGGGGACTTGCAAAACAGAGTAGCTTTGATGACTGGAAACTTGGCTGGAAAAGTTCAACAGAGCTGCTGGACTTGGCTTGATGAGAGAAAACTTCACTATGATCAAGATTAACAAGCCCACTAAAGCACAACTTCTTAAGCATTACAAACATGCAGATTGATAGCTCAAACTAGGCTGCTAGACAAGGCAACTTCCTTGGGAACTTGGGCACAATTCAGATTCCATGAACCTTGAGTGACTTGAGAGCCACATGAGGTGCATGAATAAGAAATCTCTGGAATGTACTGTTATATCTGATTCTGTTTTGTAGAAACCTGTAGAAACTGTCGACCCTTCTGTTTGAGAGCAATCCCGAACTGTATCGAGTCTTCGGCTGCAATCTGATTTGCTGCGGAAGTTTCTGAATTTTCGCGAAGCCTTCAATCCGTCGCCGACATTCTTGCTGCTCCTTGTGTGCAAAGGGCTGGGGCGGCAGAGACTCGATTCTCCAACACTCCCCCTCGCACCAGACCCGAAGCACACATACGCCCATTCTTACTCTCCTCTTACATCTCCTTGGCATACACTCCATGCTGCTGCCCATGTTGCTTCTCCTCATTCTCCTCAAACTGCTGCACTGCTTCATGAAGTGTCATGAGACCTGCTCTTGCCTTGCACATGTTGAATGCATCATGTGGAAGAACCTTAGTCATGAAATCTGCCGCTTGGTCGAATGAACGGCAAAAGTTGACGGCGAGAACTCCCTTCTCTAGTTGCTCACGAATGAAATGGTACTGCACCTCGATGCGTTTTGTACGCCCATGATGAACCGGATTCTTGGAGAGGGAGATAGCTGAAGTGTTGTCCACGTAGAGCGGAGTTGGTTGAGTTTGCGGCTGCCTCAAGTCCTCCAAGAGTCCACGCAACCAAATTGCCTCCCTTGCTCCTTCGGTCATTGCTATGTACTCAGCTTCGGTTGTAGAAAGCGCCACACAACTTTGCTTGCGCGATTGCCAAGAAACAGCGGCACCGCACATAAGGAAGATATAGCCACCGGTGGACTTGCGTGTGCTCAAATCTCCCGCCCAATCTGCATCGGTAAAGCCTTGGAGGGAGCTTGCATGTGGGCTGGCTTGGAAGAGAAGACCATGATTAGAAGTACCTTTGAGATACCGAAGAGCTCGCTTGGCTGCATGCATATGGATAGGTGATGGGGCACTCATGTGTTGAGCGAGCTTGGATACCGTGAATGCTAGGTCGGGCCTTGTGCATAGGGCTGCATACATGAGACACCCAACCTGACTTTGGTAGAGAGCTAGGTCTTGTGGGGATACCTTGGGTGAATTCTCACCATGATGCTCACTCTCCTCAAGACACAACTCCTCAATACCCGTGATATCCAGGCTTGACTCTCTCTCCTCAAAGGGCTGATGTGAAGACAAAGGGACAAAGTTGGTAGGAAGTGGGGTAGGTGATGGCTTGCTATCATCAAGACCAAACCTCTCAAGGACCTTTTGGATGTACCTATGCTGGAATAGGAAGATGGACCGTGACTTATGATCTCTCACAATGTTCATACCAAGATAATGACTCGGCTCACCAAGATCGGTCATTGTGAATGCACTCATGAGAATACCTTTCACCTTGTTGAGGAGATCAAGAGAACCTGAGACTAGGAGGAGATCATCGACATATACCAAGAGCCAAATGTACTCCCCCTCACTCGTGTGCATGAAGTACAACGCGTTGTCTCTCATGGACCTTGTGAAACCGTGCTTGAAGAGTACCTTCTCAAGAGCATGATACCATACCCGTGGGGACTGTTTGAGACCATAAAGGGACTTTACCAAGCGACAAACTCGACCCGTACCATCATCATAACCTTCGGGTTGTGCCATGTATACCTCTTCTTCCAAGACACCGTAGAGAAATGCGTTCTTGACATCCATTTGATGGATATGGAGACCAAGATATGCGGCTATGGCGAGGAGGACTCGTACCGTGGTGTACTTCGCTACTACGGCAAAGGTTTCGGTGAAGTCTAGTCCTGGAATTTGGGAATAACCTTTTGCCACTAACCTTGCCTTGTACCTATCAAGTGTACCATCACCTTTTACCTTAATCTTGTACACCCACTTGACACCAATTACCTTCTTCCCTGGAGGTGGCTCAACAAGACGCCATGTACCTCTCTTCATGAGACTCTCAATCTCTTCTTCCTCGGCCTTCAACCATTGCTCTCTCTCGGGACTTGCCACTGCCTCACGACGACTCAATGGCTCTCGTGGAAGGTGTGACGCTGCCATGCATATTGCCTCTACCTTCTTGTGAATGCAATCCTCGCTCTCCTCACATGTGCACCTTGATGACATATCCATGAATGTGAAGGGCTTTTTTACCTTGCGGACTCGTTTACCTTTACCCAAAGCCTCACTTGGCTGAGACAAATCAATGGTAGGGTTCGGTCTCACAATGGTTGGATGCGTTGACACGGTCATCTGCGGCTGAGACAATGGCTGCGACATCGGCTGCGACGGCGGCACGACTGCATGATCTTCTCCCGGCGTGGAACTCTCTCGATTATCGGTGTTGACTTGAGGAATAGGTGTGGTGACTTGTGTCGGTGAAGCTGAAATGTTCGTCGGCATAGTTGGCTGTGAAGATTCTCTTGGTGGGGATCTTGAGACCAGAAGCTTGGGAATTGATGATGACGCTGCGTTGTCGAAAGTTGGAGACGGTTCGGTCTGATTGGCGCTGTTTCTCGGTGTTGAAGATGGCGGTAACTGATGACGGCCGATTCCGGGACGTGGGGGTGAAGTTGAGAAAGGTCTTGGGTGAAGAAGTGGGCTGTTGGAGCTGGTGTTGGTGGTGATTCGCTGAAGTGATCCTCGTGCTATGAGCTGGCTTGACGTTGGAACCTGAAGTGATGAACGTGTGTGAGAACGAGATGTTGCGGTAATGGTTGTCTTGTTGGTAGGAAGAATTGTAGATGGTGCTGATGTAGGTACTTGGAGTCTTGTAGCTGTAGGTTGCTGCTGCATTGGATGATGGTGAGCTTCTGTAGTTGCCTCTGAATTGACGGCTGGTGATGGGTTTGATGGTGTAGTGGTGGGCTGATCCGGGTGACGTTGAACTTGCGGGGTTGGTGTTGAAGTAGCTGGCTGGTTGGTGACGGTTGGCTGCTGCTCCTTTGGCGGTGATGTAACGGTGACTTCTTGGGGTGGATTGTCTTCATTTGACGGCTGAACCACATCTCCACTTGGTTGAGTAGCTGCTGGTGGCACTGGTGTGGCGCAGCTGGTCTCGTTGACGACGGCTTGCGGGAGATCGATGATGGGTCCGCTATGGTTAGAATTGGTGTCATCTCCGTCCTCCTCTTGTGTTGTTTCCTCATGTGCTCTTGCTGGTTCCTGTTGGAGAGAGGGTGGTAGAGAGGAGGAAGAGGAAAACTTGTGCCAATCTGCAAGGGACATGTCTTCATAGAAGACCACATCCCTTGAAACCACTTCTCGCTTGGTGACGGGATCCCAAAGGACCCATCCCTTGCTCTCGTTGCTCATGCCGATGAAGAGGCCCCAATGAGCTCTGCTGTCCAGCTTGACTCTCTTTGCATCTGGAACACGGTATTGGGTCATGGAACCAAAAACACGAAGCATAGACAGATCTGGTTTAACTCCAAACCAAGCCTCATATGGCGTTACACCATCCGGTAGGGGCCTTGTGGGTCTCCTGTTGCGAACATAGATTGCCATAGTGATTGCCTCACCCCACCAGAGCTTGTCAAGGCCCTTAAACTGAAGAAAAGTGGTAGCTATTGCTTGAATAGTGCGATGAAACCTCTCTGCAACTCCATTTTGCTGAGGACTATAGGGACAAGTGAACTGTTGTTTGATGCCCAATGCCAACAACTCCCCCTGAAATGCTTTTCCCATGTACTCACCTCCTCGGTCCGACCTCAAGGTGAGTAACTTCTTCCCTGACTCTCTCTCAACAAGTGCTAGCCATTGCTTGAAACACTTGTGAACTTCATCCTTGGTGTTGATGAAAAATGACCACGAGAAACGACTCTTGTCATCAATGAAAGACACCAAATATCTCTTACCGTTTCGAGTAGGGTCTCGCATGGGGCCAAATACATCAGTGTGGACCAACTCTAGGAGGTCCCTTGACTGAGACTTAGAAGGGAAAAATGGCTTTCTAGCTAGCTTACCCTCAACACAAGATGGACATGGAACGGAAGAAAGGGACTTGACTGCAATTTCACTCAAACTCAATCCTTTCACGCTCTTGTGATTCACCAACTCTTTCAATGCTTGCATTCCCAAGTGCCCCAAGCGTGCATGCCATACCTCAGCTTGGGAGATACTCCCTTTGTTGGTTGAAACAGCGGGAAGCGAGACAACGTCGTTCTTCGTATTGTTAGAACCGCGCTTGAT